AAGTAATTAATCAAAAGAATATGAAAATAAGCTTCTTGATGTGTTTATTTTTTAGAACAAAAACAATGAAATTTTTTCAAACTAAAAATATAATTCAAGAAATATAAAATGAATAAATATAAATAAATAATACACAAAAAAATTGAAAACACAGATATATGACGTAGATGCAAGGTGGAGAACATCAAGAACTGGGTAAAAAATAGAAGAATAGAATGGAACAATCATATAAGCCAAATGACAACAAATAGAGTAGTAAACACGGCAAGAAACGGTTCTTCAATAGGAAGACGATCAGTAGGAAGACCACGAAAACGATGGAACGACAACTTACGTAAACATACGATGATACGTCTACATGAAAAGAAGAAGAAAAAAATGTATAAGTTAAGTTGGCGGAAATCTTATTACGATTTGTAGCGGAATTACCAATTTAAGGAATTAAAGTTCGAAGGACCACATACTGATGTGAGAATAAAAGAATAAAGGAATTAACAAATATTTAATTTAATGGTTTATTACTATTACTAAAATATGGTATGGTCAAAGTCCTTTCGAAAATTTCTGGTCTCGGCTACTTAAAACCGCAGATTTCTCTGTCCATTTCACAATATTCTATTATAAACACAAACACAATAGCAATCTTATAGTTAAAGGTATAAATAGGATATGAACCAAGGACGTTGTCTTTAAAAATAATCAATATATGTAATGAGAAAGAAATGGGAAAGTATAAAAGTAGCAATAATTAAAACAGCAAATGAAAACTTAAAATCAAAGAATAGAAAACATAAAAACTGGATGACTGAAGAAATCCTACTATTAATAAATGAAAGAAAATCATTCAAAACAAAAAATCCAATTAAATAATATAATGAAACTGATCGATGAATTAAAAAGAGAATAAAAGAAGCCAAGGAGAGAATGTTACATGAGCAGTGCCAAGAACTAGAAAAAATTGAGAAAAAACATGACTTTTTTAACATGCATAAAAGAATAAGATAATTAACAGGAATGAGAAAAACACTTCAAACTAGGCAACTAAGAGATGAAAGTGGTGCACTTATAACAGATATAAATCAAAAAATTCAGAGATGGACACAATATATAGCACAACTTTTTGAACACAAAGACAGAACAGAAGTACCAAAAGAATTTAAGGATGATACTAGGCCTGACATTATACGAGAAGAAATTGAATATGCAATGAAACAAGATGAAGGTGGTCAATCTCCCGGGCCTGATGAAGTTCCTATCAAATTACTCAAAATTGTGAATATTGAATATATTGATCTTCTTTTGGATCTATTCAATACCATATATAGAACAGGTATAATACCTAAAGAATGGCTTCAATCAACATTTATACTGCTTCCCAAAAAAGTCAATGAAAAGGAGTGCAATGAACATCGCACCATAGCCTTAATGAGTTATATCTTGAAATTTTTTTTTAAAGTAATTCACAATAGAAATTATATGAAGGCATAAGTAATACACAAATGGGATTTATTAAAGGACTGGGAACACGAGATGCACTGTTTGCAGTAAGTGTTCTTTCGCAGAGATGCTTAGATATTAATCAGGAAGTATATGCTTATTTCATTGATTTTGAGAAGGCATTTGACAGAGTGCAGCATAATCGGCTTACAGAAATGTTAATAAATAAAATCATAGACAGTAGAGACATTAGAATCATATATAACCTCTATTGGAACCAAACACCAAAAGTGAAAGTTGAAAATGAACTGACCGAGGATATCCAGATTCGCCGTGGGGTCCGCCAAGGGTGTATTTTATTACTCTTGTTATTCAATTTATACAGTGAAACCATCTCAGAATTAGCGCTTGCCGAGATCAGTGAAGGCCTTATAATAAACGGTGAGCTACTTAATAACATAAGATATGCTGACGACAACGTCCTTCTGGCAGGAACACTAGAAGAACCGCAACACCTTGCTGAACAACTAAATATATATTGCAACGATTATAGACTACAAATAAATTTGAAGAAAACCAACTTCATGGTATTTACAAAAGCACAAAACATCAAAGAAAGTTAAGCTAGTACTAGATAATACAGAAATTGAAAAAATATCTTCGTACAAAAACCTTGGAGCATGGATCACAGAAGATACTGATCAGACAAAAGAAATAAGATGCTGCATTGAAATTACACGGTCAACTTTTAATAGAATGAGAAAACTTTTTGTAATCGCTATATCAATATTTTGCTCCGGATAAGAATGCTTTGATGTTATATTTTCTCTACCCTTTTGTATGGGGTTGAAGCTTGAACACTTAAAAAATCCAACATTAAAACCCTAGAAGCATTCGAAATGTGGTGTTATCGACGTATTTTGAAAATATTATGGATGGATCGCAAAACAAACGAAAAAGTTCTCGAACAGCTAGGAAAACAATGCGAAGTTTTAAATTCCATAAAAATCTGGAAATTGCAATACTTGGGGCACATCATGAGAGGTGAAAAATACAAACTACTAAGGAATATAATGCAGGGTAAAATCAAAGGCAGAAGAAGCGTAGGAAGACGTAAAATCTCGTGACTACGCAATCTCCGTGAATGGTTTGGATGCAGTTCAATTGAGCTATTCAATCGCGTAACCAACAAAATTATAATTGCCAGAATGATTTCCAATCTCGGATAGAAGTGGATCTTGAAGAAGAAGAATATGTAATACTTAGCGACGTTTGCTAACGTGTGATGTTTATACTAAATTTTACACCAACACAAACTGAGTTGCTATCGAGGAAACATAGAGATACCTTCTTTTTCGTTGGCCCCTGGGAGTCTTGCGTTGCCATGATGTAAATCTGTTTAAAACTACATCATTTAAATTTAACAATTCAAAGGATTTTTACCTACATATTTAGTGGCTTCCCTCCTATATAACTGGTAACTGCACTGATGGACTTATTCGTCCGAAAAATTTTCTTTGTGGATATAAACAGCAATATTTACTGTGCTCTGTATATCTTATTTGTTCTTCTTTCTTTTAGATTCTGATTTCGTAGAGAACTTTGATAAGGAGTTTTTTACATCATCTATTTTATGGACATAGTTGGCTTTTTAAATATTGAACAGTTATGAATCTTGAATTATAATGTAATATTTCGTTTAGATTATTTTACTAACACAATACTAAAACACGACGAATGTAAAACGTTTATCTATCTGATCCTCTCGATTCTGAAACTGCATTAATCCTCACATAATTTGCATATCTATCTGAGAAAAACTTTTCTTCTGCTAGTGGATACCCTAATATTGTTGCTGTGAATAAATGCTTCTTTAAGTAGGCAGTTTGGCAGTCTTCATCCTAGCAATAACCTCTTGTTTCCTCCGTAATTCACGTTAAAGGCTTAGTGATATATCCAAACTTCCGATAGTAAGTACATAGCCTAAGAAATCTTTTGACTTAATATTTGTCAGTCGGTTCTGGCCACTTCTTAATGGAATCGACTTTTCCCTTATCTTCGACTACTGCTTCTTTGCTGACTGCTGATCCAGATAATTGACATTACTTCTATAGAGTACTTCTTGAGGTTTAACATCAATTGGGCAGCTTTAAGTCGATTAAACATATCTTCCAAATTATTCAGATGGTCTTCAAAAGTCTGCCCAAAGGCGATTATGTCGTCTAAATACACCAGGCACGATTTCCAAGATAATCCACTCAACACGTTTTTCATAAGCCTTTTTTTAAATGTCGTAGGAACATTAGAGTCCAAATAGCATAACGTTGAATTGTCGCAATCCAGATCCTGTGGTGAAAGCTGCCTTCTTTATCTACTGTGTCCTGAACCTGTCAATATCCAGACTTTAAGTCCAAAGTAGAAAACAATTTACTTCTAACCAATGTATCCAACATGACGTCGATTCGACGCAGAGGATAACTATCTTTCTTCGTAATATTGTTCAACAAATAGTAGTCTACACAGAATTTCGTTTTTTCATCTGATCAGAACCATCTTAGAGGCCCATGGGCTGGTAGAAGGGTCTATCACCTCATCTTTTTTCATTTTCCGATTACTCCTTTCACCTTACTCTATGTTCACCTGCGTAGTTTGACAGCGCTACTTCTTTCTGTCTTTTTTCTTCTTGCAACGAAAATGCCACAATATTACCGAAGAAATTCCCTTAATTTCTTTCTCTCCGCCTGATATAGATACTAGATAGCAACTGCAATCATTTGGTCGAATTTATCGTTGGGATTATCGGATGTTCTCCTCTGACGGATTATGGACGTCACGGGTATACAGGTTCTTACTTTTTCCTTTTTCTTGGTGCTCACTAAGTAATCATTGACGTATATAAGCCTTACATGAATATCTTTAGCAGAAGTAAACAATTCTTTTCCAGTTATAATTCCTTGGCAACATCGTCATAATGATCCCAAGGCTCCATCTTCTAGCTTCAACGAAAAGGAGTTTATTTCCGATAAAAACATAACTTTCAATTTAAGAGGCCTCTGGTAATTACCTATTTTTTTTGTATTTTCGAATCAGCGTCCCCTGAACAAAATTATCAGCGGCCGCCACTGAAACAGACCTACCTATTTTTGAGAAGACTTTAAAACAGAAATTCTAAATCAAATTCAAAAAATTATACTACAGATTTTATCAAACATAAAAAAGTAGAAAACTAAAATACAAACGACCTGTCCGAGCTTTCCCTCTGATAATAATTATTCGCAAGTTATTTGGGCGATTGCACATTTTATGAACACACTGTATATTTAATATGCATAATTTATTATCTTTTTTTAAAAAGATTACCATCAACTAAACTTTTTAACTACAAACAAGTGGTATAGGTGCTAAAATTTTATAGTTTTTGTATTATGAAGATTATATATTAGATAAGATTATATCTATTCTATGAATAGAAATTCATTTTTATCTCACTAGTATAAAATGCTGCGCGAATTACATGATTGATATTATTTTAGTGGAGTTTCGTTTATTTTGAATTTTTAAAGATGTTCTGGTTTTTAATTGGAGCTGTTGTTGCTTTAGCAGGTTTTATTTATTTTAGCCAGAAAAAAAATGAAGACTTTTGGAAAAACATTATGGCAATGCCCGGTCCCAAGGATCTTCCGATAGTGGGAACGGAATATAGGTTATATTCTGCAGGTAAGATATGTATAAATAAAATAGTACTTCTTTTATTCAAGAAGTACATAGACAGATGTATATAGAGGTGTAGAGATGTAAGTATGTATAGATATATAATGGTTTATAGGTTCTATAGTTGTATTACCAGTTACTATAATGTTTGCAAAATAACTTGGTCGCAGAAGACACTACATATTTTACGCTTCAGTATATGAATCTGTATAAATTGATCGATTTTAGAAAATGTATAATTCATTCATCATCCAACGGGCACCTAAGTTTACAAGATAAATTGAAAAAATTTGTTTCCTCGCTAAATCTGGACCATTGGTCAATCTACAACAAAATATTGAACAATTCTAGTGGTGTCTCAAAAAAAAAACGGATTCATGGAGGTCCTTTCTTCGGTACATGTTCGTCTGTTATTCTAATGTGTCCTATTCTCATGCGATGGATTATTGCGTGTTCCCCGTGTTTTATACAATTCGTTGAATTCATATGTAAATCTGGATGAATTATTCTAATCTGTAAGTATCTGTAGGCTTACAAACCAAAAAATGCAAAGGGAATAAAAAATAAAGACGAAATAGTTATAATAGACGACAATGAATATAGACAAGTATGGGCAGATCAATACAGAGAACTATTAACTGAGGAATATACTTTAGACGAAATAAACGAGGAATGAGAAACAACGAACGAAGAAGAACCAGACGAAGTAGATGAAAGTGGATCGAAATTTTAAAATAATAGAGAAACTGGAGGAAGCAAAAATGGAATAGCTCTTGGTAACGAGGAAACAGTGAACTTAGAAAATATGGAGGAAGGAAGCTGAGAGAAAAATTACTAACATTATTGAAAAATATATGGAAAGAATAGAATATGCCTGCGAAATGGCATATTCTTAAAATTTGTGGGACACCCCAAAAAAGGACACCAAAAAATTTGTGAAAATTTTAAAGGAAGAACGTTTCTATATACTAATTGTATTCCGAATAACTTACTTTTAGTGTAAGATGTTTTTTTTGGGCTAAACTGACCTATGTCTTTGATCAGTATTGTTCTTTTTTGTGTTCTTTGTAAAGTGTATTTACAAAAAAGAGATTCAGTTGTTCTTTATTTAATATTAAATTACAAAAAAAGTTAGCAATAAGTAAATCTAAATTTTCGCCTCAGCGGAAAAAATGTCAAAGATATGAAAAATAATTAATTTTTTTGGAAACTGTTGATTATCCAGCCAATCGACTTTTTATAAATCTTTCATTTATTCAAGATACAATTCCAGAATTATGTTTTTAAAGTCACTTGTATTCTTCAAAAAGTGTTTGCCACATGCGGTCTTGAACTTCGCAGTCATGCAGTACATGGTTTACTGTTTCATCTACTACAGAATCTGCAGCTTAATGCTATATCGAGCCCATTGCATATAGGTGTTCATTGTGCAATTCTGGTTTAGAGGGTCGGATCCTCTAACTTTCTATTTAAGATTAACTATCATCTTAAATGAGTTAAAATTTGCGAAAATTGTAGAAATATGTCTATGCTTTCAATATAAATAATAAAATACGCTAATCAAATAAGAATTGTATTTATTTATCAAACTATAACTATAAGTGCAATAACGGAATAATCCCAATATTAATAAGTATTAGAATTTAGGTTTGAAAAGTGAAAATTAGGAGATCCACTATAACCTTGTTTAAGAATAATTTTTGGTTTAAACGAATAGAAGTATGTTGATATTACTTATGTGATATATTTGATCAAACATTGATATTGATATTGAAGAGTATTAGAAAAGTCTTTCTTAAACATTAAAAACACTTTATCAACGATTTTTCGAATAATCTTTACAAAACCGTTAATGAAAGAAAGATATCTGGAAAAACACAACGGTTCTATTATTATGAGACCAGAGACTTAACCGAACGAAATATAAGAGCTAATAATACCAGTAAAAATAATTATTTGGCCAAAATATTTTTTAATTCACCATGTCTTTTTAGAGGAAATATTTAACAACGAAAGGAAGTATCATCAATTGTATGGTTCGATATTCAAAAGATGGTCCTTCAATTCGGCTTATGTCAGTTTATCCAATCCTGATGATATTGAGGTATGTAGAACATTATTTCTAATGATTTTTATTATGTCTTATATATACATTGTTTAGTCATAATGTATTTATTTTGCCTCGTCCACGTTCATCTTAAACAAATATTTTTTTCACGGTATTTTCCAGGTTAGGATATATAGAAAAATTCAAATATTATTTAAAAATTTAAATATTTATTCTATCTATCTATCTCTATCTATACAGCCCTTAACATCCATCCTTGGATATAGGCCTCCTCCTCCTTCTTCCATGCCTCTTAATCTTGGGCAATTTGCATTCATTTTGACCCGGCGTGTTTCTTCAGGTCATCTGACCATCGCATTTGTGGCCTTCCCCTTTTACGTTTGTGATTCCATGGTCTCCAATGTATAATTGTTTTAGTCCATCTTTCATCTTTCTGCCTTAGGGTGTGTCCGGCGAACTTCCATTTAAGCTTTGCTAGTTGGGTTGAGACATCTTTCACTCTTTTTTTTTTTTTTTTTTTTTTCCAACGGCTCCATAGCTAGACAATGTAATCGTTAGGTATTTTATTTATAATACCTCCTTGTTCAAAGCTAACTTCATCGACTTCCAGTTTACATCTTATTGGTTCTTTATTGACTACTATTATTCTAGTTTTCTGAGCTTAAATCACCAAGATTAATTATTTTGCTCTTATATTAAATCTGTGAACTAGTATTCGGTTTCATCGAAGGCTATCATCTTTTGGGCTATCAGTATTACATCGTCTGCGTAACAGAGACTTTTAATTTTATTGTTATCCATTCTGTATCCTCTTCCTTCATTGACACTATTTATGACTACATCGATGATTTGATTGAATAGCATAGGACTTAGTCTATCCTCGTCTTTCCAAACCGTTTCCTTGCGCGCGCAGCTCCTCTATATCTGCTCTTTTCTATTCCTCTCTATTGCTTATGTTACTTATGTTTACCCTTGTTGAACCATTTTTTGTAAAATTTCTTTTAATGATTTTTGTCACAGCATCCAGCACTTCTTTAAACTTATTTTCTTCCCTTCTCACTACAGTCATAAAATTGTGTGCTCCTAAGATGCCTCCCTTGAGTATAACTCTGTTCTTTCGTCATTGAACTTACTGTATTCGAACACATAGTGTTATGCAGGGGTAAGGTACCTTACCCCATGTTATCACAGGGGTAAGGTACGGTTTCGTTGGTGCGGTCCAAGCGGCTGCGGCTTGAAACTGTGATTTATTGCAGTCGCAGCTGCAATATAGAGTGTTTTATTTTGTCCGTCACCAATTTTATGTAATTTGTCATATACTGTCAAAATTTCTATATATATATATATATATATATATATATATATATATATATATATATATATATATATATATAATATATTATATATATTTATATATAATATATATATATATTATAATATATATATATATATTATATATATATATATATATATATATATATATATATATATATATATATATATATATATATATGTATAGATCACGTTTTATTGACCATACAACACAATAGCAATCGCTGTGACATGATTTCACCTCTATATTCATTTCACAGTAGGTACGAATTGTCGTAATTGTCACATCACAGAATACATCACTCAACTTGATGTATTCTGTGGTTACATAAAATGCCTATTACGTTGTATACCGTCCAAGAAAAAGTGCAACTTGTAACATGGTACTTTAATGATCATTCGATACGCGAAGTAATTGATTTATTTATTGTTGCCTTTAAAAATAGACCCTTACCAAGTGTTACAACAGTTAAAAATACCATTAAACATTTTTAAACTTCGGGATGTGTAAACAGTTCTAAAAAGTGTCATGAAAGTAATGAATCACATGTTAGACCTGTCGATGAGGAGCGTCAAAACAGGTATATTGATATTTGTGCTTCTGTGGAAGCTAGTAAACCCTGCAATAGTGTACAAATTGCTAGGGAAGTTAACGTAAATGCTCCAACCGTCCAGCGAGTTCTCAAAAGGAATGAATATAACTGTTTTAAGATACAACCAACAAAAGAACTGTTTCCGGTAGATAACTTAAGGAGGATGGAGTTTTGTGAATTTATGTTAGATAAACAGAATGAAAATGTACACTTTTCAAAAAACACAATCCGTTCGTTGCAAGGTATTATTCTCGGAAAAATAAGCACCTCAGTGTTGCTGTGCGAACGCAGCATCCGTAAAAGTTAAATGTTTAGACTGGGATGTTAGGCGATCATATTGTCGGTCCATTTTTTATCGATGGAAACCTAAACGGATCCAAATATTTACAACTTTTACAGAATGAGATTATTCCGGCAGTCCGACGCCTTCCCATTAATTTTTAGTAGGTTTATTTCCAACAGGATGGGTGTTCATCTCACAACTCTAGAGCAACTATTGATTTTCTCAATCAAACGTTACCTGATCGACTGATAAGTACAAGTGGTACAATTAAATGGCCCGCTAGATCCTGTGACTTAGCGCCTTACTATTTCTTTTTTTTTTGTTTTCTCAAATAAAACATTTATAGGCATCAGTTTGAAAGGGCCACAAACCTAGTCGAATTAAGGGCAAAAATACTTTATTTCTCTGCAAGCATTACACTAGCTCTACTCCAAAATATGAGGAGAAATCTGTATGACAGATTTGGTTACTTTATAGCACAAGGGGGTGGAATAGAATTAGGTAGTATTTTTTATAATTAAGTTTGGAAGAATTTTATTGTTTTTTTTTATTTAAAAGTACAAACGATTTTTATTCTGATTTTTTCTTCTTTCTTGTCTTATTGTTATAAGCTTTGTCCATAAAATGTGTACAATTTTTAGTGGCAATAAAGCATATCACTTATTTACTTACTTGTTTATTTGTATTGCTATTAAGGCTAAAAAATAACCAAAAAAATAGTTTTAGAGCATTATAATAAATATACTCTAGAGATGGGATTGCAATAAATCTTAATTCCTATGGTCAACAAAACAATGTCGTTATCAGTGCTACCCTTATGTGTAAATTTTAATCTTAAACTTTCTTTTTTTAAACAATTAGATTTTATTAAAAAAATTATTTTTTTAGGTGCTGCTCACTAATAGCAAACATATTGAAAAAGACAACGACTACGATTTCTTGAATACCTGGCTAGGTCAAGGGCTATTAACTAACAGAGGTAAGCAATCTTATGATAACTAATAAACGTTTATTTCAGTATTAAAATAAGCATATTTAATTTCAATTTCTTTATTTTTCATAAAACTAGGACTATTACAAGCTGGTTTGAGTTTTTCGAATCTATTATTTTTGATCTATTATTTGCATTACCAAATAATATATAGGTTTAAAAGGTACACAAAAGAACATATCGTTGCTTCTAATGCTGAAAATCATCTTTAAAAATGTTAGTGGCTTAAAAATTACAACCAAAAATATGAAAACATTATCGAAGCTTTACACAAAAACAAAAGATCCTTTCGCAATACAGGAGTCATCGAATGTTGTTTATTCTATACCGTGTACTAATTGTAATAAAATTTACATAGGAGAATCATCTCTTAATTTTCACAGCAGGGTGATATCACATCGTAGTGATATAAAAACCAAAAAAATCAATGCATGTGCATTGACAGAACATGCACTAACTCTGAAACATGAATTCAATTTCGATGATTCCTGTATTTTGGCAAAAGAAAAGAACCATCCAAAACGTGTTTTTTTGGAAATGTGTTTCATAAAATTTAGTACATCTTGCATCAACAAAAAGTCCGACATAGACAAATTAAGCAACATTTATTGTTATTTACTAGAAAATCACCAAAAATAAAATAAATATTTACCTGTACATAAATTAAACCTCTATGTATAATATGTTGCATACCATTAAGACAGGTTTAAAAAGTATAGTCACCTAATAAGGGCCTCTAGTATTTCTTGAAAAGAAATATAACATCAAATACACCTAATTACATATTAATTACAGTCTTTTTACTTTCCATTCTCTGTATGAGTTAATATACACTAGTAAAACATGCTATCAACTAAGTTTTACTATTTTTACAATAAATTTTAAAAATTTTATAATGTATTCTGTCCATAATTGTATATTTTAATGTGTGTTATAAATGTTGAGTGTCAATGCTTATACAAATAATCTCAACGAGTAGTAAGTTACACTGAAGAATTGTGATATTTTTTAAATATTTACATATTTGTCTTATTACAGTGTCTTGAAAAAGGAATAAAACCATTCCGAAAGCTCGACAAAAAGTCAAAAGTGTGTTTTTTTTAACATCCCGGCCATATTCTGACTGCAACCCTAATAAACTGTGTTGTTTGTATATATATATATATATATATATATATATATATATATATATATATATATATATATATATATATATCAAGCCAAATGTTCCTTTAAATTTTTTTAAATCTTCGTATCTATTAATATGAATATTATTTTTTGCAAAGTTTGTGTGTTGTTTGTTTGTGTTTTTTTAAGTTAGTTCTAAATAATGAGTAAACTACAGTGCATTAATATATAAAAACATCTTTAATATACTACATATTGAGTTGTAAGTTATAAGCTATTAGATCTGTATTTCTTATAAACTCAATATCATCTATTGTATTTTAGAGAACTAATGAAGCTTTAGAAATATAAAGCGAAACGTCTTCGATAAACATATGGAGTAGTTGACTTCTTTTTTTATTTTGCCAACTTGAATGACCGATTAAAGCTCAGAGTTCACTAGTTGAATACTTTATATATATATATATATATATATATATATATATATATATATATATATATATATATATTTATAAATGTAGATAGATATATAATTTTATAAAAAAATTCTATAAAAAGTCATACATGTCATTTATTTTTAGGAGAAAAATGGCACAAAAGAAGGAAAATTCTTACACCTGCCTTCCATTTCAGCATTTTGCAGGATTTTGTAGGAACATTTAATAAAGAAACTAACCATCTTGTAACGGATATAAAAAAATCTTGCGATAAACCATATATTGATGTCGTCAAACCAATAACAGAATTCACTTTATACTCTATTGGAGGTAAGTACATTTTTCATGAATTTTTTTTTGTATATTTAAATAACAATTAACGAGTAACGTGAGACAATCATTTTTAACATAAATTTTATTTTATACTGTTTAACACAAAATCAGGAATACAGTTAAAAAAATCAAGAAAAGCATTATAAGAGTCTAAAACTGCAACCAATTGGTCATCTTCAATTAATTACTATGTAATTATCGTAACTTCCTTATATCTACTAAATGTATGCTCTCCGGTAACACATGATAGGCCTTGAATTCGACCCTGGTCTTCTACTTCTTCTTAGCCTTCTATCGTCAATTTTTGGATACAGACCTCTCCTAACTCCTTCCATGGATCTCTATCCTGAGCAAAATACTTCCAATTTGTTCCGACTACTCTTTTTATGTCGTCTACCCATCTCATCTGTGGTCTTTCTCTTGGTCGTCTATCTTTGTAGGGTCTCCAATGTTGTATTGTGACGTTCCAACGTTGGTGTTTTTGTCTAGCAGTGTGACCTGCGAAGCTCCATTTAAGTTTTGCGTTTTTTGTTGTGATACCCTTAACTATTGTTTTTGATCTTACCCAGTCGTTAGTCTTTTTATCTGACAGTCGTATACCTACATTGCTCTTTATATTGCCCTTTCTGTTGTGGCTAGTTTATTTATACTTTCGTTGGTTAGGATCCAGGTTTGACATCCATATGGCATGATGGGAAGGATGCACTGCTACTCAAGTATTGAGGTATTTTGCAATTGTTCAGTATCCAACTGAGTTTTTCAAATACTACCCATGCTACTCTTGTGTTTTGCTAATGATTTTCGCATTTTCGCATTCGCAGGCAGATATATATATATATATATATATATATATATATATATATATATATATATATATATATATATATATGTATATATAAATATATATAAATATATATATATATATATATATATATATATATATATATATATATATATATATATATATATATAGGACTTGGACTGGAAGACATTAACTGGGCAGATAAAGAAATAAATGTTAATGGAAGAAAACTGAGTAATTTGAGATACTTTGATGACATTGTAATATTGGCTACAAGTTTCGAAGAACTATAGACCATGATGACGCAAATATTTCAAGCTTCGGAAGGAAAAAGTAGTTCTTAAGATGAACTTGGAAAAAAAAATGACAAATACACCGAACATTAGAGAAATGACGTTGAATGACAGATAATGAAAGTAAACAAAGAAAATTAAACTGCCAAAATTACCAGAAGAGTAAGGTTAGCATGGTCAGGATTTGGAAAACTGTGTTAGATTTTGGAAAGCACTAAAATTAAACATTATTTGAAAACAGTATTTACGATCAGTGTATCCTCCCTATACTCACGTATAGTTCACAGACATGGACACTCACCAAATCTAATATGGATAAAATAGTAAAAGCAGAAAGAGCGACGGAAAGATCAATGCTCGGGGTGAGACTTATAGACAAAAAAACAAACAAATGGATTAGAAGCAAAACCAAAGTAAGAGACGCAGGAGAACATGCTGCCAAATTAAAATGGAGCTTCGCAGGACACAATTCCCGACTAAAGGTTAAAAGATGGAACCACGAAATACAACAATGGAGGCCATGGTTAGGAAAGAGAAGCTTAGGACCACCATAAATAAGATGGGCTGATGACATTAAGAAGATCGGAGGACACAACTGGAAGCAAGTGGCGCAAAATAGAAAACACTGGATTGATTTTGAGGAAGCCTATGTCCAAAGTTGGATTATTTAAGACTGAAGAAGAAGAAGAAGAATATATATATATATATATAATATATATATATATATATATATATATATATATATATTAGTATAATGGTAAGGTTAATTGGGTTAGCAGCTGAATAATGAAAGCCAAAGTGTGCTCTTTTCAACGACTTCGCTATATTTCGTTAAATTTCTTTAACATCTTCAGACGAATGCTACAATATGTTACAAAATGGTGAAATTGTGTATTTTACATAAGATGTAGTGAAACACTTACTTGTGTGAGGTTGCAGGCAAAAGTGGTATTTGAAAGTTCCATGTTGAAAAACTTTTTTGAAGATTTTTTTATAGCATAAAAATAAGTTGTATGTGTTATATGGTGGCTTGGTGGATGTTGGATGTTAAAGAAATTTAACGAAATATAGCGAAGTCGTTGAAAAGAGCACACTTTGGCTTTCATTATTCAGCTGCTAACCCAATTAACCTTACCATTATACTAATTAATAATTGGACAGCTGTGATCATTCTTCGTTTATATATATATATATATATATATATATATATATATATATATATATACAGTAGTCTCTCTCTATAACGATTCCCTATATAACGATAATTCCTCTATAACGATGAAAATAGTAAACGTTGGTTGGTTCGTCATAAGAACAATGTATTAAATCTTTCTCTATAACGATATCGTTCTCTCTTTATAGCGATAACTTTTTTAGCGTTCAATAGTTGATGACAAATGTGTTATTGTATTTAAAGTTCAGACTACCTGAGTCACGAATGAAAAGGTCATTGTTCATCGGTTGTTTTGTTTTGCGTTTAAGGAATGCGGCATAAACTCTTTCTTATCAGAGGGTTAAGTGACGTTTATTGTGCGGGCGGCGTAATTAACTGTTATCACACAGATGTTGTCATCTATTGACGACTATTAATTTCCAGTTTGAGTTGCGTCTTAGTGTGCCAACAGTTAACATGTTTTCAAAAAAGCGTAAAGTGCTCTCGGTGGAGGAAAAACTATCGATAACTCGAGCAATAGAGAAAGGTGAAAAGCAATCGGATGTCGTTCGCCGGACGGGGCTGTCTCAGTCAACTGTAGCTACGATATGGAAAGACAGAAAAAAGTGGCTTAAAGCGGAGATGGAGGGCGGTAGCAGGAAGAAGTTGCGGAAACCTCAGCACGAAGATTTAGATCGCGCTTTGCTTCAGTGGTTCCAGCAGCAGCGTATGAACCATATTCCACTTTCTGGGCCTGTGGTCAGGACAAAAGCTGAATTTTTTGCAACTGAACTTGGAATTGAGAATTTTAAGGCATCTGAGGGTTGGCTGAGCAAGTGGAAGATGCGGCACAAGATCAACTACGGCCAAATCAGCGAAGAGGCTCGCGATGTTAACAAAAACGTAACGGATCATTGGCTAGAAAACGTGTGGCCTGGACTGAAGGCACGATATGCGTCAGACGACATTTTCAATGCGGATGAGACTGGATTGTTTTTTAAAATGACACCCAACAGAACTTTAAAATTTAAATTGGAAAAGTGCGTTGGTGGAAAGCACTCTAAGGAACGCATTAGAGTTTTAGTAGCCGCTAACATGACAGGTTCGGTGAAGCGAAAATTGTTAGTGATAGGGAAGTCGAAAAACCCGCGTTGCTTTAAAAACATAAAAAATCTACCGGTGACATATAAAGCAATCAAGAGTGCGTGGATGACCTCGGAAATTTTTGAAGAAGCGATAAGAAAGTGGGATATCGAGCTTAAAGGGAAAAAAATTCTTTTGCTTGTAGACAATTGTCCTGCTCATCCTGTATAGCACGACCTTCAAAACATCGAACTCTGTTTTCTGCCAGCAAATACAACGAGTGTCCTTCAGCCCATGGACCAAAGTGTCATCAAGAGTTTAAAAAACCATTACAGGAGAAGACTTTTTATGGAATTGGTTGAGAATAATGGCGATCTTTATTGAAGTGGTCTAAAGACCCAGAGGCAGGCCTCCTATGAGATGGACAGATGATCTGAAAAGGACTGCCGGGAAAAATTGGCTACAAGTAGCGTACAATAAAAAACAATGGAAAGGAAGACTTGAAGAGGCTTATGTTCAGATGTGGACGTGAATGGCTAGACGAAGAAGAAGAATGGCGATCTTAAACTAAACATTCTTGACGCCATCCTAATGATTAGTAAATCCTGGGACGAGGTGACGAGTAATACAATACAACATTCCTTCAAACACGCAGGATGGCTGGAAGATCAAGGACTGGCTTATGATGAAGATGGCCTGTCATTAGATGTTTGGGCCAGACAGTTTGAATTTACTATCACCTACGGACCGGAAGAGCTAACAGATTTTGAAGAAGTTGATAAAAATGTAGCTACAACATCTGGACTTTCTGACAAGGACATCCTGCAAGCAGTTCGTGTAGAAGAAGAAGAAAACAGTGACTCTGAAGTGGAAGCAGAGTCAGAACCAGCTCCGACCCCTCAGCAGGCATTGGATGCGGCAAAAGTACTGCATCGATTTTTCATCCACCAGGAAGACGATATGAGTGCTGTAGAAGATTCGATGCGTCTTCAGGACAAGGTCAGGTCAGTTCTGTGGAAAGGAAAAAGAAGACAGACCAAGGTGACAGATTTTTTTGATAATGTAGGATAAATATATTTTACAGTAGTATTTTATTTTTTTATTGTACAGTACACATGTTTTAATTGCACAGTCATTTTTTATACTGTATTGCTTGTATTATTCGTTAATAAATCTACGTGGAATACAATGTTAAGTCATTTATATTCGTTTTGATAATTTTTTTAAATTAAAATAGGTTATTTAGTACAGTATTATTAATATTACAGTACCGAATTTTGTCTCTCTCTGTATAACGATCTCTCCTTATAACGATGAAAATTCCCGGTCCCTTGCATATCGTTATAGAGAGAGAGGACTGTATATATATATATATATATATATATATATATATATATATATATATATATATATGGCCTATATTCCTAATATATTCCAAATATTTGTACGTAGTTGAGTCGTGGACTCTCACAGACGCTACCTGTAAGGAAATTGTGGCTTTATCGTGGAATCCTGAAGATATCCTATACCAACTACGTTACTAACCAGGACGATTTATTAAGAATGCAAAAAGAAACACAGTTGTTAATCACAATAAAAACAGCAAAAATTGAATATCTCGGTCACGTCATTTAGGAACAGCGAAAGATATAGGTTTCTGCAATTAATTCTAAATAGAAAAGTAGAACGAAAACGAGAACCAGGAAGGCTAACAATTTCCTGGCTGAAAAATCTACGTACGTAGTTCAACACAACAACCACAAATCTTTTCAGAGCCGCAGTTTGCAAAATAGAGATTGCCATGATGGTCGCCAACATCCGAAACGGATAGGCACTACAACAAGAAGATATATTCCTTGACTTGCTCTATCTCACTGCTATTTACAGTTATACACCTAGGATCGTCTGTGTTTGACATTGTTTTTGTTTTTGTCATATTCATTTTAAGGCCGACGTATTGGGAGCTGTCTGCGAGTTTCATCATATTATATCATAATTTGTAATTCCCCACATATGCTCGCTATAATCACGATGTCGTCAGAGAATCTGATGATCTGAGGTGGTTTAATTTGTTAAGGTGATTCAAGTTTGTTGAGGTGGTTACCATTAACGTCGATGCCACATGTTGACCAATTTGTAGTTTTAAAGATGTCTTCTAGGGCTTAATTAAAAAGGTTTGGAGATGTTAAGTCGCCTTGTCTTACTCCTCTCTGAATGGGGATGGGATTTGTATTTTTATTAAGTTAATTAATTGAGGTAATTGAGTTGTACTATCATAGTTGCATTTTCAAATATATATTATGTATTAGTTGCCTATATCTCGAATCTATTCTCCAATTATTAATAGCTTGTTTTATATCCACATCTCAATACTATTAAATGCCTTTTCATAGTCTACGAAGGCAAAAAATACGGATAGTTGGTACCCATTTACCTTCTTTACTAGTATTCTCATTGTCAGCAGATGGTCTGATGTACTATATCCTTTGCGAAAGCCAGCCTGTTCAACCGGTTGGTAATCCACTTTGTAAGTCAACCGATCGACCCTTGTACCCAAAAGGACATCAGTAGTTGGTGTATCAAGGCGACATCAAATATTCTCGTAGAAATACAGTCCAGGAGAAAACGGTATAACAGCAGAAATATTCAAGGAAGGTGAAAAATGAGAAATTACCATAGGGCTGGAAAATTGCAGATTTATGTCTAAATTATTGGACGTAGCCTTTAAAATATTGGATCAATCGATAGAGAAAAACTATACGAAGCCATGGATCTGTTAAAAATACCTTCCAAACTTATTAAATTAGTGTAAATAACCTTAAAAGAAGCATTCAATAAAGTGATCCTGGAAAGTAGGTTGTCAGTGACTTTTACTATAAGGAAAGGATTAATACAAGAATATCCACTGTCCACAAATTAAAAAAGTTAAAAAAGTTTGGACTATGTATAAACGAAAATATGAGAAACAAACAAACAAACAAAAATTTTAAAATATGAGAGCAAAGAAAATAGAGCCCGAAGATAATCTTAAGAATAAGTAGGGGAAGTAGAGAACTTTGTTTTATAAAAGTGGATCAATTCGATAATTTGGAATAACGATTACAAATAGAGCCAAATAAGATACTGGGATAAAAAAAAATTACTAAAGAAAGTTAAGCTGTAGAAGCACTAACCAGAATTATCAAATCTAAGTTAATATCCAGGAATAGGAAAATCAGGATTTACAAAACGATTGTGCAACTTTCGGTTATCTATGGCAGCAATATATATGGAAGGACAAATGACGATGACAGCGTATGAAAAAAAAGAACAAATAAGGATTTAATGGAGCTCTACAACCAACCAATCATAATACAAAAAGGAAAAGCACAAAGAGCAAGGTGGATGGGACAAATTTACAGAATGTCCATAAACAGACATGCAAAAAAAATAACAGGAGGAGCGAGTGAAAAGCGCAAACGAGAAAGACCAAAAAAGAAGTTGTTAAAACCGATTAAGGAAAACTAAGAATACCGGACTGAAAGAAAAAGACAAAAAACAGAGATGAGTGGAAAAATAGTGAATGGGCCTTTAGGCCTGAAGAGCTGATATGTATATATATGACGTTTCCTATTATACTCGATTTGAAACTGCTTTATAGCATAGTTTTAATGGAAGAAGGAATACAGGATTGGTTATAGCAAAAAACTATAAATATTGATACGTACCTAGATACACTTACTATATACCTAAATAAATATGTCCTTCTCTTCGAATTAGATACCATCATCATCATCAAGATCACTATAGTCGCCATTTCCCAAAGATATTATATTTGTGCAATAGTTCCTGGCTTTCATTCATCAATTAATGACTCTTGGAGGCCAATTACATGTTAAGAGAAGACGATTTGCTTATAGAAACAACAAACTGCTTCGGATTGGTATGATTAAAATAATACAAACAAAGTGAAGATTTGTATACCATCCAGTACGACTCAACGATAATAGATAAACTAAAAGACTAATATAATGTATCTCCCTTACAGAAGAATACGGAGATGCGCAAAATCGACAGTCATGGTGACAGATGGAGAAAGCTTATGTCGGGTATATATTATGTGATAAATAGAGAATGATAGTGATAAATATTACAAACATGATAAATAATCAACTGCTACTGCGTAGAAGACATTCTGGTCGCTAATCTAAGAGGTAATAGGAAAGTTGAACATTCAGATAATTTGAGAAATAACAGTTGAAGTCCCAATTAGAGAAATACTTTCTAGAGTATTTGTTTTTACTTCATAAAATTTCTCTCTATTGGTGATGAAATGTTGTAGTTGGATCCTCTTCCTAAGATTTTATTCTGCTACAACATTTATTGTTTTAATATATAACTATCTATAACTCCTTTACACATATCTCTGTTCTTTATTTGCAGAGACATCATTTGGAAAAGACTTGCGGGATGACCCAAAATGTGAAGAATACAAACAAGCAGTTTATGATTATGGAGAACAGTTTATTTACAGACTGATGCGTCCTTGGCTCCAACCCTCTTTTCTGTTCAATTCTACTAAAGTTGGTCAAGAAAATCAAAAAACTATTAGTATACTACATAACTTCACCAATAATATTATTAGAGAGAGATACATAGCTTTGGAGAAGGAGCAAGATGTCCAATTTGCCAAAAAGCGTTTAGGTTTGCTAGACTTAATGATCAAAGCGAAATATAGTGGAGCTGCTATAGACGATGTAGGAATTAGAGAGGAAGTCGATACTTTTATTTTTGCTGTAAGTAATGAGCATATCACGGTTCTTTCTTGTGGCATGTCTAATTTAAAAAAAAATATATTGTATTAAGCCACAATTATTGATTGTACTGAAAATTATATTTTTAACTAATGTTTGGCGTTTAGATGTCTAATCCGGAAATCATTTTCAAAAACGATTATTTTAAAAAATCTGTGAATATTATTATAACCAAGTTATTATTGTTGTTATATATTGTTGTTGAATCATTGTGGTTTAAGGAGCACATTTTTGTAGTAAATGCAAATTAATTTTATTCTGAAGAAAAACTAACAAAATAGTCATACAAAGAGGAAAAATAAGCTTTGAAGATTCATTTATTCAAGGCATTTATTCAATGTCAATATTGTTTAGAGATAAAATGGCACAAATAACCACAGACATATGTAATTCTTAAGAACCAACGTTAGAAGAAAACTAAAAAAATATATATAAAATTGTAAAATTTTATCTACTGCTTATTGATTTACTAGCGGGTAGCGGGTAGGAATTCCTCTGGATAGTCCTATCAGGGAAAATGAATCCATCCCTGCCCTCCGCAGATTTCAGGGGTTTCCTGATCCGGGAAACTAGTACCTGCTTAGGGTCCCTTATCCAGGGTCACGGATGAAGTCCACAACGGCAGACATGGCGGAGAAGAATACCTTCGGTACGGCATGGATGTCGGAAGTGGCAATCCCCTGATTTTAGGGATTGTATAGAATCACTCGCCAACACGCTCGGCAAGTGTGGCGTTTTAAATATGCTAAAACCTCCCAAGTTGAAGATGTCTATTATAGTATCAATACGAAATTACCCCAGGTAAGTAGAATTATACACTCAGAATCTCAGACTGAGCAATCAGTCAGCCCCATGTATTCTGGGGGAGGCAAATATTCGACTGAATCTAATAAGAAAAACTACCCATTATTGCTTCGTATAGCCACTTAAAATATAAGAACTATGAGGACCCAAAAACACCTTGATGAACTAGAACAAGAGCTCTCAAATATCAAATGGGATATAATTGGACTGTACCAAACTCGCTTACCAGGAGAAGCATGTACCATCTTAAAATCTAGTCACCAGCTATACCAGAAAAACTCCGTAGAAAATCATCACATAGGCGGTGTAGCGTTCCTGATAAACAAACGAGCTCCCTATAAAGTAACGATGTTCTGTGCAGTATCAAACAGAGTCATAATCTTGTCATCGCTTTGAACAGCAGATACAGTTTACAGATAATACATGGATATGCACCGACAGGAAACTCCACAGACGAGGAAGCTGAATCATTTTACGAGGATCTAACAACAGCAAGGAACCAAGAAAAATCACACTTCGTAATAATAACAGTAGATTTTAATGCAAAAATTGGAACAAAAGAAGAGGGCGGCACACAATATATCAGTCGCCTTGGGCTGGACAACAGGAACGAAAGGGATGAGATGTTGTACAACTACTTAAACAACGAAAATTTATTTTGTCTCAACACTTTCTTTAGAAAATCTAAACAACGTAAATGGACATGAATCAACCCAGACAAGAAAACTAAGAACGAAATAGACTACATACTCTCCAACAACAAAAACATATGCACCGACGTGACAGTACTAAACAAATTATATACCGGGAATGACCATAAGATTGTCATACCCAACCACCGATGTCCTGTTTCAAAAACAAACGAAGTACCAAAAAGAGCTAAGCACAAGACTAAAATCAATAGAGACACTGAAACAAATGGATAAGACGAAACAGAACAGATCGAACTTCAGACAGCTTCAAAAGTTTAAACAAAAACGTGAAGAAAGAAATTAGGAACCATCGTATAAACTATACTAACAATCTAATAAAAAAATATAATACAAGATAACTGCAATATGAAAGTACTCAAAGCAAAAAACTCAAGCGGTACAACAAAAATCATAGAAATAAAAAATGAGAAAAACGTCACCGTCCGAGATAGAAAGGAAATAAGCGAGGCCATTGAAAAATTCTACACTAAATTATACTCGGTAAATACACAACCACAACAACGACGTACTGAACGAACAATAATTAACACCGGCTCAGAAGAAATACCGGACATAACCGACTATGAAAAATAATTGCCCTAAATCAACTAAAAACGAATAATTGTTCGGGGAGGAAAAGATTACAGTTGAAATGTTGAAAATTGGTGGTAGAAAAATGGAACAGGTATTAAATATTTTATTTAATAAAGTAGTTAATGAAGGAAAGATTCCTCAAGAATGGTACAACTCCGAAGTCATTTTACTATTCAAGAAAGGAGACAAAGAAACATCTAAATCTACTAAACTAAAATCATAACTAACCGCCTAACACATAAGCTCGATTTCTATTAACCTATCGAGCAGGCTGGATTCAGAAAACATTTTAGTACCATAGACCACTTGCACACCGTAAGAACACTGATAGAAAAATGCACCGAGTATAATGTTCCAATTCATATGGCGTTCGTCTATTTCCATAAAGCATTCGATTCCTTCGAATTATGGGCAGTGCTTGAATCTCTAGAACATGCACGTATAGATTCAAGATACACTTACATAATTAAAAACATATATGAAAATGCCACCATGCAGATAAAGCTGGACGAAAGCACAAAAACTAATCCCATAAGACTACAAAGGGGAGTAAGACAAGGAGACACCATCTCTCCCAAACTATTTACCCTTGCTCTAGAAGACATCTTTAAGAAACTAGAATGGAACAACAAGGGTATCAAAGTCGACGGATCATACTTAAACCACTTGAGATTCGCAGATGACATAGTTTTAATAGCCGATAATATCCAAGAACTAAATGATATGTTACAATTAAATGCAGTTTCAGGAGCGGTAAGCTTAAAAATGAACTACAGCAAAACAAAAATACTGAGCCGAGAGCAGACAAATATAACAATACAAAATTATACTGTAGAAAATGTTGAACATTAAGTATATCTAGGTCATGTTATCAAAGTAGGAAAACCAAATCAGGATGCTGAAATTAAAAGAAGAACACAACTGGCATGGGCGCTTTCGGAAAACTAGCATATATCTTGAAAAACACCTCCATTCCTGTAAACTTAAAGAAAATAGTGTATAACACATGCATACTACCAGTTTGTACCTACGGATTGGAGACAGTATCCCTTACCAAAAATCTGCTAAAAAATTAGAAACAACGCAAAGACCAATGGAACGAATCATGCTTGGAATATCACTAAGAAACAAGATTAGAAACACCGAGATTAGACGTAGAACGAAGGTTAAGGATATTGGGGAAGAAATTGCAAAAATAAAATGGCGCTGGGCAGGTCATGTAGCCCGATATAATGACAACATATGGATACGGAGAATTCTAGAATGGAGACCAAGGACGACAACAAGAAGCTTGGGAAGACCTCAAAAAAGATGGGTAGATGACATAAGAGCAGTGGCAGGTAAACAGTGGATTAAATCGGCGCAAGATAGAGAAAGATGGAAGCAATTGGGAGAGACCTACATTCAGGGGTGGATGGAAAATGGTTGACAAAGAAGAAGAAGAAGAAGATTGGTTTACTATTATTTATATTGTACTAATTAATGTTTTTTAATAAGGGGTAACAGTAGCATATGGTACTGAACTAAACTGCCATTTGCAGTCCGAAGAGATGAGTTTATTTTATGATGTTCCTGAACAAGTAGCGTGGCTTAGATTTTTTTGGTATAAAAATTGTATCTTTGCATAAACGCTAAGGTTGCCATACATGCTGCGATAAATCGATATCGTTTTAACTGTACCATTAAAACTGTTCGGTGTTCACTCCACTACCATGCACGTTACAATAAATCTTTACGATTTAATGGTACTGTGTACTGTTAATACTTATAATCTTCTTATCAAAAATCAACAATTTTCATGTGTAATTTTTATTTAATTTTCATTGTTCGCAATGACAGATTGACGACGACATGTTGGCGGTTGTGGGATTAATATTTGCCTTGAAAAAGATAAAATAGCGGAAAATCCTAGTATCTGGTGTAAAGACTGGCTGATGGCATTATCCGTTCTACAAGAATGGATAATGATACTTACTTATGTGCTGTATTATATAATGATACATGTGCTGTCTATGGTAGCGCCTATTATCAAAAAGTAAGATACTGTTATAAGAAATGCTATTATACGAACATACACGTATCGGTAAAATTGCGCAGTTCCTCCGATTCCAATAAATCTATTAAAATTTTTGTACCGTTCCGTTCGATGGTACCGTTTTTAAAAATCGTAGAAAACTGTGCAGTTTTACCCCATATACGTAGTGATTCTCGATATAATAATAATTATATGATATAAAAATTATTTGAACGTTACTCTTAAATCGTAAAGGTTTATCATAGCGTGTATGACGTCTTTTAGCCATCCCTAACCGCTAACTATTAACCGATTATATTGGATGTTTAAAGTAAAGTAAAAACTGTTACCTTTAAAATGTAATTTTTTCAATATATTAAATTTTGATTGCTATAAATAATTTTACACTTAAAATTTAGGACGACGTATACTTGCCCGCGATACTTATGTTAAAAAATTTAAAATAAACACCAGATTTCGGCGCCTTTCCAGTTTATTTGGGGGTGCCACGGCAACTTTCTTTTTTTTTTCACAATGAAACTAATTTCCTATAACTGGTTATACACCATGTATCACAATTTTTTTTATTTAAAATCCTTTATAAAAGGTATATAATTATTTCTTTTTTATTTTCTTATTCTATTCAGTCACAACTTCAAGATAATAGCCCCACTTACCTGATTTTTTGAGGAAATAAAATCTTCAACAATGTTGTTATTTCACCAGGGTACTTTCCTAATGGAATTTAAATTCCAACTGAGAGTTTAAATTCTGTTCTTTTGCGTTGGATGAAAGTACAGACATAACTGGCATGACTGAATTATATTATATGTTTAAGAAGTATTCATAAAAACTTTTGTGTTACTTAAGAATTAGCTTGCATGTGTCCAATGAAGGAACGAGAAAAGGATCAAATATTTTTCAAGAATTTAAAGAAACTGTCACATCTTTAAAAGTACCTATGAGCAATATTTGTAACATTACCACTGATGGAGCACAAAATATGATAAGGGCAAAATCTGGTTTCCTAGGCATGTTTAAGTAATAGGTGATTTCCTGGAATTGAAGCAGTATTTCTTCGTTGTGTCATATATTAAGAAACCATGTGCAAATCTGCACTAAACATGAAACATGTGCTTGATGTTTCATTAAGCTTTCTAATACAATTCGTTCACGAGTTCTCAGTCATAGACAATTTCAAGAGTTTCTTAATTCATTGCAGTCTGAGTATTCTGATGTACTTTACTGCACTTAAATAAGGTGGCTAAGTGCAGGTCGAGTTTTTGATCAAGTTTGGGATCTTAAAGACGAAATAATCTCTTTCATGGAAAAAAATTAATGAATGAGTGTGAAGATTTGAAAGATATTTTATGACTGTTGGACTTTTTTACATATCTTCTTACAGTCTTATCAATAAACTGGACCTTAAACTTCAGGGAAGAAATCAATTTAATCATGATATTTAAGATTTCTTTTTGGAGTCGATGATCTTGAATCTTCAAATGTTCATGCACAGTCATAGACGTATGTTCATTAAGAGCGATTACTTTAATATGCATCGTAGGAGTAACATCCATCTTTTAACAAGCAAAAGTAATACTAAGTAATAGTAGAAACGCTCACAACTGAACCACAGTATATTTGAACCATATTTCAACTACTGACTATCTAAAACCAGTCAAGCGAGTAAATTATAGTCATATTCGTCACACTGCATATATGCTGTTGTGATATAACCCGGTTTGAGACAGTTCAGGACATAATCGGTAATCACATAACTCGAACTAGAAGAAAATTTTTGCCCCAATTAATTCGAACAGTATAATAATAGTATAATTATGTGAAAATAGTGAAAAACTTGACATAAAATGTATCATGAATTGCATTCGATGGGTCTGTTCTCTTCACTATCATCGATAATATTTATATTTATATTATTTATATTTAATGAAATGTTGAAATTGCATTTGTTGAAACATACTACATAATGTTAGAGTTGAAATTAAATCATATATATATTATATATATATATATATATATATATATATATATATATATATTGTTATGATATGTAAAATCGAGAAAAATATTGGTTTGCTTAAAATATTTCAAAGTTTCAAACAAAATTTTGAGAATCATTATATGAGATTTTGTTTATTGAAAATATTTGAGTGTGAATTTTATTTCATTATTTTTATTTCAATATATAACGTTAGATCCTATATGTTTTTTATTATTCCGGTATTCTTTGGACCTTACCTTTCACATGTAATAGCATAGATATTGAAGCACGAATATAACCCTGAGATAGAGAATTAAAAGGTGTGATAGAATTATAGTCATATCATTTGGATAATTTGGATTAATTATTGTTCTGAATTTATTATTGTTCTAATTCTAATTATTGTTGTGGCATTGTGAATTAATTACTATTAAACTGGGAATAAGCCACAAATAAAGATAAAAATACGTTTATTGACGTTTCAATTTCCACTGTTTGTATTTTGAGAACGATTTCCGAAGTGGAAATTGAAACGTCAATAAACGTATTTTTATCTTTAATTGTGGCTTATTCCCAGTTTAATAGTAATTAATTGGATTAATTAATTAATTAATTAGCTAATTAATTGCTTGGCGCACTAAGACTTTAAATATCACATTAATATATATATATATATATATATATATATATATATATATATATATATATAGCACTTATAAGCACTATTATTTTTAGGGTCACGATACCACAGCTGTAGCTTTAGGTCATATTTTGATGCTCTTAGCGAATGAACAGGAATGTCAGGTAATATATCATATTATATTTTATGTTTTTATATTAGTTTTATGCTGGACACTATATTTGTAAACATAAATACATGATTTTATAACTATAAGATTTATTTATATAAGAAACATTTGGTCACGTTTCTTACCTTTGTAAACTTTTGGAGCTCTTCTTTTACAGATATCTATCTACTTTAACGTCGTTTTACGATTTAGATTTAAATATTCATTTTGTCTTAGTGTCAAGGACCGTGATTTCTTTTTTAAATATAAAACTTGAAGATTTTGCAATACAGTTTATATATTTCTACGTTTAATATTTATTTAGATTATAAATGTGTATGTTTTGATTCTAAAATTCTTAATAACAAATTTGTTTCGAACATTTTCCCCTTTCTATTTTTGATTGTATAAGGTGCAAAACCTTCTTCCTAATGGTGTTACTGTAGACGTTTGTTCTATTCCTAGTACATTCTATTTTAGGTGAAAATTTGTAGTATTTTTACTGCTCAAAATAATTGTCTCATTTATCGTTCAAAAAGTTTTTGGCACTTTATGTCTCCTGTATAAAGGATGGCCGGATGAAAACAAACAGAGGCATTATCAGGAAGTGTGACAACATTTTTGAAAAACACATATTTCTGATATTTTGGATTATTTTACTTTGTACCCTAAGACAGGGTATGAATGGCCCCAATATTTTTTAATGGCAATGGGCTCAATGGGAATTACAAAGTCGCGTCCCGGCGTCCCGGATAAGGCTTCCGGGCCATCCGAATTTTCAACTTTTTGGTAAAATTCTATTTTAAAATTTTAAATACGGTATTCTTCTAAGAATTCACATCACATTGAATTTTATTGTTGGGAAGAAAAAAAGTCGAAAATTTCTAGAGTTTAATACTAATACCACATCCAAAACGCATGCATTTTATCGTGGTATTATGTTATAGAAAACTCAAACTGTGCACTTTTTTTCGTTTCTGTATTTTAATTATCCTCTTCCGAAAAGATTATTCAAAAACGATAACAATTCATGTATTGTATACACATTAATTATGCAGTCCGAGGTGTGCCGCATTCAACGATGTAATGATTGCTGATAAATATTTTTTTTCGGTTTTTTCAACCATTCTAAGTAGGTAAACAAACTTCTTGATTTCATTCGTGGTATATTCTTGAAGAATACATGATTTATTTCCAAACCGTTACATGATTTGAACCAAGATCAAATCTGATTCGTTGCAATATAATTTTATGTAAATATTTATTTTATGTCACTAATCAGTTTGAAGCTTCAAATATCATCTACGAAGGTCCGAAGCATTGTTTAGTTGACTTTACATTTGTCATACCATACTATTGATAATATGGAACCAGAATAAGAAAGTAAAAAGAGAAAACGCTAGTGCACTTTTAATAAAACATTGCAAGAAGAAGTCCCATTTTTGAAAAAGAAAGTACCAGTGACGTAAAATGTGATACTTATGAGTCAGAATTTTTGATCGCCCACGGTGGTAGAGCGGATGTAGTGAATCACATCAAAAGTGAAAAACACCAAAGAGGTATTAGATCCGCGACAATCAGAAAAAAATTGACTGAATTTTTCAAGGCAACAGCGAGCAATATTGATTTAGAGAGTGCAGTTCGGGAAGGTGATTAAAGATGGGAAACATTTGATATTATTGTGCAGCTCTTGAGGAACATTCTTGAAAAGTACAACATCTTAAGAAAGTTAGTTTCATTCTGCGGCAATAATACTACTACTAATTTTGATGGTAAAAGCCGAGGTGGGCAAAACAATGTTACCTACAAACTAAAATCACAGGTGAATCCAAATTTGAAATCGGTTGCTCGGCTCACATTATTTACAACACTTTGCAATGTGGCTGCAATATGTTATTATTTGACGTGGAATTAATAATGGTGAAAGTTTATTCACCCTTCTATAGTTTCACTGTTCGTGTCACACATTTGAAAGAGTTTTGTGAAACCGCAAACCTTCAATACCAGAAAATTCTTGGTTATGGGAAAACTCGCTTTTTGGAAATGTTCACATGAGTGCTATCAATCTTAAGACTTTATAATGGATTAAAGACGTATTTTCTAGAAACTTCAAACAGCCCAAAATTACTAAAATTTTCAAGGACCCATGTTCGAAAGTTTGGTTGTTATTCATTCTTGATCAGGTAAAAGCAGCTTTACATCTAGGAAATGCACGTCCCATACTATACAAGTCTACATCAGAGCTATTTCTGGGCAATTTTTGATACCACTTTCATTGTTGCCAACAAAATAAATATACCAAAACATTAACTTTAGATATTACACCTGGAAATTTCAGTCATTCAGTCCAGTATAAAATATATTGAAATATAAATATTAAGGTTACATTAACATGGAGATCCAACATCAGTTAATTTTCTAATTTTTCCTTTTTTGAGAATGATTTCCGGATTGAAAGTCGAAACGTCAAAAACTAACAAACATTTGATTGTTATAACCAATTATGGCTTAATCCCATCAAAAATATCATTGCCAATATAAAAATGCTAAATAATCAATAAAATAATGGTATTACAGTACTTGTGTAAAAAAAATAAAAAATGGCCTGATTTTCACTGAAAAGTCCCGGATTTGAGGTATGTTTTTAGCCTTATCCTGAATTCGATAGAATTGGAGTTGGTCACACTACTCATATAAGATATCAATTTAAAACTCTTGCAGTTCCATATATATTAGTCTTTAAATTTTTAAGTTATATTAGAGTTGCATTTTTGAGAGAACGGAATTTTATTTTTTTGATATTTTGGGAGAATAATAATAAGCTTAAGTTCAAGTGTGAGGGGTCGCCACTCTTGTGTCCCGGCCGCAATCTTGAAAAAAGAGGTAGAAAGGGTTTTCTCGCTGTATCTCGTAAACTAGCAATCCTACAGAAAATTATGTCGGTTATTATTTGTAGCAAATTAAATTGTCTTTATTTGTGCAGTTGCGCAATGAGCAGTTAATGCAGTTGTGCAATAGCTGTCTTGTGATTTGCCGATTAAGATGATGTACCTTCTATTGAAGGTTGGAAATCATCATGGCTATGTGGGCCCTGTTGACTGCCGCTCTAAATAGTTCTGCACTACTGCATTCAAACCATTCCTTTAAGTTCTTAAGCCACGGTATTCTTCGTCTTCCCACATTTCGCTTTTCTCGAATTTTGTCTTGCATACTAAGCTACAATAATGAGTATATTTGTCCTCTCATAACATGGCCTAAGTACTCAAGTTTCTCCTTTTGATAGTCAATATTATTTCAGCCTCATTTCCTATTCTTCTAGTAACTACTTCGTTTGACATTCTTTGAGTCCATTATATTCGTAAATCGTTCTTTAACACCAAAGTTCAAAGGCAAACTTATTTAGATGCACTTGTTTTAATGTCCCTGCTTCCAAGCCTTAAAGAAGAGCAGTGAATATGTAACACCGAAGCATTCTTAGGCATAGTCCTAACCTTATATCCCAACAACAAAGAAACTTTTTAAGTTTAACGAATGATGCACGTGCTGTTTCTGTTCAAATACATTCAAATCTGTTGTATGGTCCTATATATACATATGATATTCCCTATTGGCTATTTAAGGAGACATGCCGTGTCAGGGAGAAGAACTTTCCACAGTTTTAGACTACTTAAAATACTTAGATTTACTTATATTGAATTCTCCTTTCTCCGAGTATAAATGACTTTTATTGGCCGAGATTATAATTGTCAAGGAAAGTGTTACCTATTTGTGCCCTACACTTGCTTTCGAATAAATATTTGCTACTTAATTTGATAGAATATTATCTGGACGCTGTGAATTGGCGAGGTATGTAACTTCGATTATGTTTCTTTTGCTATGAATGAACTTAACTTTTAGAGTAGCCTCATCTACGGCAGAATGATCTTCGATCATGACTCTTAGAGTTGATCTCGTTACTTAATTTACATTTAACTGAGTCAATATATATATATATATATATATATATATTTATATATATATATATATATATATATATATATATATATAATATATATTATATCACGAAACACTTTTTTGACTTTTTAAAAAAATTAATTTATTACAAAAATACAAAGGTACCTACATGTTACAAATACTTAAATGTAATGAACTATAAAAATATAATGAATGAAATGTAAAAATATAATGAACTACAAAAATATAATGAACGAAAATAAAGAGCGACAACTGGTTTTATAATATTTGTAATTGCTGACTCAGTGGGAAAGTGCAAAAAGCTTGTGTCCCGCTGACTCTGCTGGTAATGCATGTGCAAGGATCCTTATCGGCTCAGGTTGTTGGAAGTGGAAACCTGATACCCTGGGAATCGTCGTGATAAGGAACAACAAGGAGAATACGGAGCTGTTTCGAGCCGCAGCGAGCAAGGTTATGATTGCCAATATGATTTCCAACATCCGAAACGGATAGGAACCAGAAGAAGAAGAAGAAGGAACATTCATTGGTACAATGCATATAACATATATATATATATATATATATATATATATATATATATATATATATATATAATATATATATTATATATATATATATTATATATATATATATATATATATATATATATATATATTATATATATATATATATATATATATATATATATATATTATTAAAGTTGTCAACATTTAACCTTATACTTATATTACTATAAGATATTCGGAGATTATTACTATAAGAGATATTTACTAGAAGATATTCGGAGAGAAATGGAAATCGATCTAGACATAATAGACACAATCGAAGCCAAAAGACTTAACTGGTATGGACCCCTTCAGAGAATGCCGGAAAATAGATGTCCAAAAAAAATAGAAGAATGGACTCCGCCAACTAGAAGAAAACGAGGTAGACCAAGACGATCCTGGAGAGACGATGTCAACGATGCAATGACCGCCAGAGATCTAACAACTGAAGATTGCTTCTACAGAAAACGCTGGAAATTAGGATGCGAGAAGCGGCGCCAGCTGTAGAAGACTCGCTTGTTATATTATATATACTTATATTACTACCTACATACCTTATTACTACTGAATATCTATTGCCAAACCCCTAATTGTTATATTAAAAAAATATTTATAAAATACTGTTCTGTTACAGGAAGAAATCTATCAAGAAATACAAGCAGTCGCGGAAGACCCAAATAAATTAACTTTTGCTGAACTTGGGGAGATGAAATTTGCTGAAAGGTGCATTAAAGAAGGCTTAAGGCTATATCCGAGCGCCGTTAATATTGCAAGAAGATCAGGAGAAGATATTCACACCAAAGCTGGTTACATTATTCCAAAAGGATGTACTGTGGATATAGCAATTTATGACCTGCATCGTAATCCAGAGGTATGGGAAAATCCTGAGAAATTCGATCCTGATAGGTTTTTACCTGAGAATATTTCTAAAAGACACCCCTATGCTTATATCCCATTTAGTGCGGGCAGCAGAAATTGTATAGGTATGAATTTTTTTAGCTATTCGACTATTTTGTTTTAATGTAGGTACGGCATTTCATCTAAGGATATATATGGATACTATTTTCAATTTTACTTTTTGTACTTGGTTAGTCAAGTTTATGATTTAAAAATTTTGACAATAATTCAATTAAACTTGAACAGTAGAAAAAACAGCTAACAAATATATCATACTGAAGCATATAGTAAACACGATAAAAAAAATGAAGATGTATTTATACATTTATACATCTTCATTTTTTTGTTCAAGTACAAATTCGTCAATAATAGAACCTGTCCAATAATAGAACTAATAATAGGATCTTTTTAATAACATGAACTTATGGCTTAAAAACATAAGGGATTGGACAAATCTCGATGCCTATGCACTTTTTAGAGCCACACAAGATCGAGAGGAGTATTCCAGAATTGTCGCCAACATCCACTTATTGGATAGGGCACCATAAGAAGAAATAATATGAAAATAAAAAGAAAACTGAATAGATACTGATAGAACTAATAGATTAAAAATTACTAAAGAAGCCATTTTAGGAGAAGATCAAAACCTTTTTAAAAAGGCAGTCTACTAACAATATTTAAAATATGTTAAACAAGAAAAAACCAAAAACTACAATAAGGTTTTAGTATGTCAACAAAGCTTTCTAATATACATAGCATCTTGAAAGAGTGGGACACATCCAAGGTGATACTTAAGGAATCCCTTGGGTACAATAGATCGAGATTAAATTACAAAACATTAAAAAATTGCAGAAAAAGCACTTATACAAAAAAATACTCCAAGCAGGCAATCTCACAATCAAACACAATCTTCTTCTTCATGTACCAAGCCCTTTTAGAACGTGGGTTGCCATCATAGCTATCTTAATTTTATTCCCTGTCATTCTAAATGGCATGCTTGTATCAATACTATACCAATCTCAGGATAATAACACAATCGCCCAAATCAATTAAGGTAAACAGCAAAATTAATAAGACTTGTTTATTTTTCTATCTTTCATAATAGACTACAGTACTTTCTTTTTTCAGATGGTTGTTTTATCACGCCATCTTTTCTTTGCTCATTCAAGTTTGTCTACAAGAATTTTATTTTATCGACCTTTGTAGCAATACCCAAAAATTCAAGTGCAACATCCTGCTTAGATCACAGAACAATAGCTTTAATGAGTCACATACTTAAACCATTTTTAAAAATAATAAAGAGCAGAATTGTTAAAACTCTTGAATATGAAATTAGTGACATACAATTTGGCTTAAGAAATGGTATGGGCACAAAAGATGCTTTGTTCGATTTGAATATGCTGGCTCAGAGATGCATGGATATAAATCAGGACATGTACTTATGTTTTGTAGATTTTGAAAAGGCATTTGAAAAGGGTCAACATAAAAAGCTTGTAGATATATTAAAAAGCAAAACTATTGTCAGTCGTCATATGAAAATGGTAAATAAGCTATATTGGAATCAAACTGCCAAGGTAAGAGTTGACAACCAGAATACCCGAGATATCAAAATACAGAGAGGAGTCCGCCAAGGTTGCGTGCTGTCACCACTACTCTTTAACGTCTACAGTCAAGCAGTATTTAACGAAGCGCTCTCAGCTTCAATAGAAAGTATATCTATCAATGGAGAAGTTTTGAATAACTTGCGTTTTGCAGACGGTACCGTAATAATAACGGATAACAACAGTGATGTACAGAACGTAATGCAACGCCTTAATGAAGGCTATTATGAATACAGACTAACGATGAATTTGAAAAAAACTAAATGCCTGATCTTGACTAAATTAGCAGATGCAAATATCCAATTGATTGTTGAAGGTGCTGTAATTGAGAGTATGAATATCTGTAAATACTTAGAAACATGGATAACGTCAAATGTAGATAAAATCAAAGAAATTAAGACACGTATTTAAATAGCACGTGCATCATTCATTAAACTTAAAAAATTTCTTTGTTGTCGGGATATAGGGTTAGGACTACGCCTAAGGATGCTTTGATGTTACGTATTCACTACTCTTCTTTATGGCTTAAAAGCATGGGCATTAAAACAAGAGCATCTGAATAAGTTGACCGCCTTTGAATTTTGGTGTTAGAGAAGAATCCTATACTCAAAGAATGTCAAACGCAGAGGTTACTAGAAGAATAGAAAATATAATATTGACTATCAAAAGAAGAAAACTTAAGTACTTAGGCCATATGATGAGAGGGCAAAAATACTCATTATTACAGCTTATTATGCAAGGCAAAGTTTGAGGAAGGCGAACTGTGGGAAGACGAAGAATATCGTGGCTTAAGAACTTGAGGGAATGGTTTGAATGCGGTAGTCTAGAACTATTTAGAGCGGCAGTTAACAGGGTCCGCATAGCCATGATTATTTCCAAACTTCGATAGAAGATGGAACTTAAAGAAGAAGAATTTTATTTTAATTTGTATCCCCATACATTCAATTTTATATTAGATCATTGTGGTTTTTTCTATTTTTACATTTTTTATTTATGTTGTCAATATTACAATCTTTTTTAATATGTATTCATTACTTAATCATCATAAATGATGCTAGAGCCTAGACTTTCCCAAATCTGTTTAGCCTTATTCTTCTTTCAAAACCCTGTCCGATTATCGAACGTTGGTGATCATATTGGCAATAATAATTTTGTTTATAGCCCCTCGAAATAGATTAAGATATATCTTAATACCACTCTCGTTAATATTGGAGCCAGTATGTTCTTTGGCCTGGGCCCCTTCTTCCAGATATTTTGCATTATATTTTAAGGTGTAGACGGTTATACCTCTATGGATGTCCCATTACATGGCCGAAATATTGTAACTTTCGAGTTTTTACTATTTGTTACTTCTGTGCTCATTTTGATTCGGTGTAAATTATCCCATTTCTTATTCGATTAACCTTCGGAGTACGGAGATTATTTGACTTACTTAGATTACGAAGATGGGTCAAGCGTGACCCATTCTCATTCTATTTATAAGGATATTTTAAATAGTCAGTATTATTAAACAGTATCTTTAATTCAACAAAAAAAAAAACAAAGAAACATAAAAATTATGATCCCAAATTTTTGTATTTAAATTTTTTAAGATGGTTCACCATCCTGGTCTTTTTGGCAGTAGTTGCATTTAATCTTGACAATATGGACTTCTTTGCGTTTTGAATGAATATTACAAACAAATCTTTTACACATGTCATACCTTTTTGAATATTTATTGTCACTACCCCAACAAGAATAACAACGACCGCGTTTTGTTGCAGATTTCGGCACTTCGATTTGCTTTTTTACACTAACACCGGTGGTCTCTATTGCAGCGATTACGGATTTAGGGTATCCGGTGGGTTCTTCTTGTATTGCTTCTGCTCTTCGTTTTATATTGGGCGAGGTTAATTGTTTTCCAAGCTCCTCCAGAAAGAGTTTTCTGCGATGTTTTATATTTACTTGGCTGTTCCATTCAGGATTTTTCGTATTCCAGAGAACGAAAGCATTGTAGCACGCAATATCCAAAAAGTTGAAAAATATACGTAAGGGCCATCTTCTTTTGCTCTTTTACATGTGTACTCTCTGATCAATTTATCTAAAATATCGACTCCACTTTTGGTTTTGTTGTAATCCAAAATAATCTTTGGTTTAAATTTTTGGTTTTCATCAGAAATTTCATGTTTATTGTGTAAGGTCGATAATAATACAACAAACTTATTAGGCTTGGTTACATATGAAACTAAGGTAATGTTTTTAGTGAACAAAAATTTTGAAGAATACAGTGAGCGATCTGTCATTTCAAGCAATGATTTGGGTAAACTCTTCCTATTTTTTCTGATAGTACCCAAAAGAGTTAAATTTTTGGTTAACAGTTCTTCAGATAAAGCAATATCGGTAAACAAGTTATCAGTTGTAATATTTCGACCAGACCTATACCAATGTTCTGCAAGTGTTTTGGCAACTCTTGGGCCTTGGTTACGTTCAGATTGATCACCAATCTTTCCAGTATATATCTCAAAGTTACAGCAATAAAAATTTTCAGCGTCACATAGGATCCAAAGCAGATGGTTGGTATGATTCCCTACAATTTTGGGCAAATAGATCAGCGATTTCTCGAATAGGAGCTAATTTACCTCGTTCTCTTCTTTCTGCTCTCGTTTCCAAATTATCAAAGCGAATATGCTTCAAAATATTTATAAATCTATCCCGGCTTAGAGATGCTTTATATATAGGACGCGTAAATGCATTATTTGTATTGGATCATAAATTATGCACCTTCTCATGGGACTCTCTGAACCTTCCACATAATATAATTATACCAAAAAAAGCACGCAGTTCGACTAGATCAACTTCAATAAAATCCTTCATTTTTTTCTCGTTCTTACTGTTATACGCAGCTATGAACTCAATAGCTCTCTTATTGGTATACTCAAGAATCATTGACATTATACTATCAGAAAAAAATAAATTGAAGGCATCCATGCATGTCTCAATATTTGGACTTTTCTTAGTTAGACCTACGTTTTTCTGTAATAAATTACATGCCAATGTCTTACCCTTTTTTGGAGCTAAATAACGCCATGTTCGTCCTTCGCACAAAACATCAGATACGCTAGATCTTTCACTATCTATATTTTCAGAAGTTGTCGCTAAAACTTCCTCATTCTCGAGTTCAGTAATTGATAAATTACCTTCATGTGCTTCTGGCTCACAACCGTCATTATCACTCGCTTCACTATTGCTTTCATCCAGCTCTGCAACATCATCTTCTTGACTATCTGATAGGAGTAAGGCATACAACTCAGCTTCACTCAAAGGTTTATTCTTTTTCCACATTTTGATATAATACTGCACACTTCAAGATCGATGCTTGAATTAAATTGATCAACAAACGTGAAATACCGCTTTACACTTTACACCAAAGTTAGACCTCTCGTCTCGGACGTTCCCATAGAATATGCCTATTAGACACTACATTACTCCCAAGGTTAACTTCTATCTACTATTATTTCTACACACATAATCATTTTGCCTTGAATACGTTTACTGGAAAACAGAGACGGCTGCGTTTTACGTGTACCTACAAACACATTGAAAAATTCTTCAAAATCCGAAGACCGGGTCAGGACTGACCCGACATCATAGATTTTACGTAGAGAAAAAACTGTAATTTGCATGTTCACGAATGATACACGAAAAAATAGATTGAAACAAATAAGGAGAACTTACGAACAATCAGATTTGTAAAAAAATGATTTCATGAAATATTAAGAAATAAGTGAATTTCGGGTCACGCTTGACCCAGTCTTCGTACTCCGAAGGTTAACTTAACTTATTCATAATATTCGTCGCAGATACACATTTAAAAGGCCTTCAGTGTTTTTATTAGTGTCTCTGTAAGGGTCCAGTTCTAAATGCCATATAACAATTTGAAGAATATATAAGCAACGTATTAATCTGATTTTAAAGTTTAATGTAATATCTCTATTAATGAAAATTTTCTTTGGTTTATAGAATGCGGCTCTGGCTTTTGCAATGTGTGTTGTTAATTCTTTGTTTATATCCCAGTTATCGTTAACGTTGGCACCCAAATAGGTGATATTATTGACTATTTATTACTTAACTCTATATGCTCTGACGTTAGTTGGTTGTAACTCCGTTTTTGTGAATGAGAAAATTTGTACACAAGGGTCCATTTGGGTGAATTCTCTATGCACTTTTAGTACATAGGTACACTATATAGAAAAGTTGTTTAAATTTAAATTTACTATCAAAATGTAACCTTTTAAAGTTAATTTTTTTTTTTTGATAAAAATGTATTCAACAAACAAAGCAAAAAAACGGGAACACACGCGATTTTTCTTTTATGCTTCATAACTTTTTTCCACAAGAGTGTAGGCATAAGCATTGTTTTACAAAAAAACTTTTATTCTTCTATCTTCTAAATGACATTTAGTAGAAGTCTATATGAGTTACTTTAACGTTGTAGTTGGTACTTCTAGCCTTATTTTTTAACATAAGCAATAGCTAAGTCGTCAGAAATCATCTTCATTTTAAACACACAACAAACAGAAATAACGAAGAATAAATAAAAACACAAATTATTCGTTTAAATTAAACGTATATATCTTAATTATTTATTAAACACTAATTAATTTTTTTAGGTCAGAAATATGCCATGTTGGAGTTGAAAGCAGCAGTTTGTGGACTGGTACATAACTTCAAGTTGGAACCTGTTACAAGACCATCAGATATGAGGTTTAAGGCTGACATTGTACTCAGAGCAGTCAATGAAATTAGAGTTAAGTTTGTTCCTAGAAAATAATCTTTGAATATTATTTTAATAAATATATTTGTGGTTTTGTTTTCCGAAATATTTGTTTAATTTATAATGTATGAACTACCTAAAATAAAAGGTTTTGAAAAGAGAATTAAACAATTGAAAAATATTAATATCGACCTGATATATAGCCAAGGCTGTGGTTCCACTAAAAATGTTTTAACTTGTTCCCGATGTCGCTGTTTGATTGATTCATTGGTTGGTGCAAAGATCCATTGAGTATGGTGTTGTTGAAAATTACGTAAACGGCAAATTCGTATATAAACTCGTAGATAAAACTTAAAAAAACACGATTCGAAAACTCGTATAATGGCTCAGATACCCAAAGGCCAGCGCACATAGCTCGAAAATGCACCCAGGGTTTTTTGTTAATGGTTAATAATCTTACCATAATATGGTCCTAAAAAATCAACGTGAATTCTATCAAATATATGAGCTCCTTCTTGGAATTTAATGAATGGTGCTTTCGGTGGTGTTATGGTATTTTTCAAACATGCTTCACAAGATTTCACAAACGATTAAATATCTCCATCTAAGCCATGCCAACAAAAATATTGCCTTGCTACTGTTTTCATTCGAACTATTCCACTATGAGTACTATGCAATTCATGTAAGATTTGATTATGAAACTTGGAAGGTACTACTACCCGATACCCCCATATGATCAAATAATTATCTATAGTGAGCTTATTAGCCCTATTAGCATATGGTTTCAAGATCGAGGCCAGCCATCTCTTACATAATTAAAAACTCTACTCAAATTACGGTCTGACCTTATTCCTTTAATTATTTCCAAAGCTGTAACTGGTAATTTATCCTCTACGAGGAAATTAAAATAATCCAATTCAGCATCAGTATTTACAGACCCAGTTGTGGAAAGAGGCAAGCGTGACAGTCCATCAGCTATTTTATTTTCTATTTCTTTAATATGTTTAAAGGTATAATGAAATCCACTTAAAAATAGTGCCCACCTCTGCAGTCTCCCTGCTGCCATTTGAGGAATGCCCTTTGTTTTTCCGAATATGGCTGTCAGTGGGTTATGATCAGAACAGAAAAAGAAATGCTTCCCAAACAAATATTAATAATACTTTTGTACAATATATTGCTAAAGCCTATTGGTGTATAACGGAGTACTTAGCTTCATGTTTACTCAATATTCTTGAAGCAAAACTGATTGGCCTCTCTGACCATCTGGGTACACATGCATCAAATCTACACCTAAGCCCACCCTGGAAGCATCACTAACTAATTTTAATTCCATCTCTGGATTATAGTGTGCCAGGCCCACTCCTGAAGAAATTTCCTCCTTTGCCTTTAAAAATACATTCGCACACTCTGAAGTTTAATGAAAACCTACATGTCTTCTTAATAACTCATACAACGCCAATTGCTCGAATAAATGAACTTTGATCAAATATAAGGCAAATATTAAGCACAGTTAAATTAATTTAATTCAATGATGTCTGTCATTCTGTCTCCGGCTTCTGTACACAATGTAGCTTCGCCTATTTTTAAAAATTTTAAAGTGTTTGTTTGAGCTTGTGTAGTGTAGTGTGATGTACCATTTTACGTTTATAACATGTTATTCTTGTCGAATAGGCCACAATTGTTGAAGTGCCCCTGAAGATGCTCTAGGGAGCGAAAGTACTTGGGCAAGATTAAATTAATTAAACTGTACTCGATATTTGCCTTTTATTTGATCAAAGTTAATTAACAAATATTTACTTTAATGGTAAGCTTTATTACTATTATTAAAATAAGGTCTGGTCTTTTGACCAGAGGATCTTTTCCTTTCGAAAATTTCTTATCTCGACTACTTAAAACCGCAGATTTCTCTGTCAAATTCACATTATTCTGTTAAACAAAAACACAATAGCAATCTTATAGTTAAAGGTAACTAAATAGTTAGTAACAATAATACCATACAACAAACAGACACTTACAAATATCTGAGACACGAAATCAAAATAAGCAGAGACACATGAAATACAGAGGCGAATAGGCCTAACATGGGCATCATTTGGCAAATAAAGCCATATTCTAAAAAGTTCAATTCCCAGGTGTCTCAAGCGAAAGGTTTATAACCAATGTGTTTTACCTGTACAAACTTATGGAGCAGAGACTTTAACACTCACGCAAAAATTTGCGAATAAACTCCGAGTTACACAACGAGCCATGGAACGTGCAATGCTGAACGTAAGCCTTCGAGACCACATAACAAACCAACAAATCAGGCAAAGATCAGGAGTTAAAGACGTCATCGAAAGAACCACGACACTTAAGTGGAACTGGGCAGAGCACTTAGCCAGAACACAAGATGGACGGTGGACAAGACGTATTATGGAATGAAGGCCCAGAAACTATAAAAAGAGGATGACCATCGACTAGATGGACCGATGATATAATACGTGTAGCGGGAAATTGGCTACAAACGGCCCACTGTAGAGAACACTGGAAAGAACTTAGGGAGGCCTATGTCCAGCAATGGACGCGATTGGCTGAATGATGATGATGAAATAGGATATGAACCCAGGACGTTTTCTTATATATATATATATATATATATATATATATATATATACATATATATATATATATATATATATATATATATATATATATATATATATATATATATATATATATATAAGCGAGGTTCCTCTGCCGCCTCTCGCATTTCGACCACCATCGTTTTCTGTCCATCCATTCATCTTCTTTGATGGCTCTATCTCTCATTATGTGTCGTACATTTTCTTCCCAGCAACTGAAGGCCTTCCCCTTCTTCTTCTTTGTTGTGGTATGTAATTTAAAGCTTTCTTTGGCCATCTATCTTCATTCATTAGCTTCCACAGTGTGACCATTCCACACTAGTTACCTCGTTTCAATTCTGTCTACACTGGAATATACAGTATTTATCTTCCTTCTAATATCTTCATTCCTAATATGATCTTTTTTAGATACACCACACTCTCTCCTTAGAAAATCCACTTCTACTACTTCTATTCTTTTTCTATCTTTTTTCGTGATCTGCCAAACTTCTGCCCCATAAGTCATAATAAGCTCTACCAAGGTTTGATAGATTGTCAATTTCGTTTCTTGTCTAATATCTTAGACCATAGTATAGAGATTACAATGTTAACCGCTTTTTTCTCTGCTGCGTTCTTTTTTCGATGTCTCTTTTGGTAGTGCCTTCTTTAGATATTATAGATCCGAGATATTTATATTCATTGCATGTTTTTGTGTTTCTAATTTCTAACTCTGGATCTTCTTCATCATCTCCTATTTTAGGATACTCTGTCTTTGACGTATTCATATTGAGACTCCATTTTTCATATTCTTTTTTTAGTTTTTTAAACATGTAGTCCATGTCTTCTTCATCATTCGCTACGACTACCTGATCATCTGCGAAAAATAAAGTTGTTAGACATTTACCACCGCCTATGTCTATTCCCATTCCGGATACTTGTTTCCTCCACTGCTCTAGCGATGATTGAATATATATTTTACATAAGGTCAGAAATAGACAACATCCTTGTTTAAGCCCCTTTGTTATTGGAAATGATTCAGATATAAAGTTTCCTTCTTTAACAACACTTTTTGCATTTTTGTATATATTTGCGATAGCATCCACATACTCTCTACAGACCTACTTTCATTAATGTTTGAAACAGTTTTTTCAAAGGTACCGTATCATAGGCCTTCTCTAAATCTACAAACAATAGGTGGGTAGATAGATTCCTTGCCTTCCGTTTTTCGATTATCTGCTGCAGAACGAATATGCCATTGGTGCACGATCTTCCTGCAAGAAATCCATTTTGTTCTTCTATGTCTTTGTATTCTGATTCTATTCTTTCTTTTATTATTCGACCGTACAACCTTCCCACTGAGCTGATAACAGTTATTCTCCTATAATCAGAGCATTTGCGTTTATCCCCTTTCTTAAATATTGAGCTGATGTATCCAATATTCCAATCATCAAGGATATTTTGTCTTTTTAAGCATTTGTTAAATAGTTGAACAAACATCTCATGTAATATTTTTGGTCAACTCATTTGAGATGTCTCCAGGTCCTGCTGCTTTACCGTTTTTCGATCTTTTGAGGGCATCGTTTAACTCTCCGGTTATCTCAATTATTTGTGTATGTTCGGATATATTTTCCATTTCGATCTCTTAGAATTTACATCCATCCTCTGTCAGTAAGACCTAATAATGGTGTTTCCACTGTTTCAGATCCATTAACTGTAAGTTAGATTTTCCTTTCCTTCCCTCCGGAGAGACTTTATCACCTTCCAAGCTTGCCCAACTCTTGTTCCACCCATATACCTATTCACTTTTGCACTTTTTCTCGTTTTACATCTTCTCGCTTTTACAGGATATTCGGCGGCGTCCTGGTTCTCTATTTCCTTCTATTTTCCCTTCTAATATCAATAGTAGGATTCTGTATTTATTTTCATTTCTCACTATATGTCCGAAGTATGCTAACTTTATTTTTTTAATGGATTAAGACTTCAGGTTCTTTTTGTAAAAGTAAAAGGGGACCAGGAGATAATTCACTACATATGATTAGAAATCAAATAGACTATATTCTGGTAAACAAGAGATTTAAGAATGGCGTCACCAGAGTAACGACATATCCTGGTGCAGATATCGGTTCAGACCATAACCCTGTAATAACTGACATCAAAGTGAAGCTCAAAAAAGTCCAAGAAAGCCCCAAAACGCCAAAATTAAATATCTCAATATCCAACAAAACGTTAATAGAAAATGACTTAAACAATGAGCTAAAGAAATCAATAAATGAAAACAACACAGAAATATGGAACACATTTAAAGATCTTACCTTGAAAGTAATAGAAAAATATCCAACAACGTTACACATTCACAAAAAACAACAATGGATGACTAATGAAATCCTGGAATTAATTGAGCAGAGAAGGAAACTGAAAGGTAACAAGACAGAATATAAGGAAAAACAGAAACTAATT